CGCCGCGGGCACCCAGTGAGCAGACCTGGGGCAAGGCAGCGAATGATCCCTACGCCCCAGCTCCAGACGGCCGCTGATGGCTGTGCGGGTTGCGTCCTGTACTGGGGCGCCCCCGCCGAGGGGGCGAGTGGAGGATGAAATCCAGCCCTGGCTCTGCTGTCCAGGACGTGAGCCCTGGCAGCGGGAATGAGTCTGACCGGAGGGGGCGCCTTTTTCTAATTTGAACAGAGGCACCCTATGGCCTTTGGGGCTCTGCTCCCCACCTCGCCTGCCTGGAAGCTCTTAGCCATTATTTATTATCACCACAACATTGGATTTGGATTGTGTCTGCTTGGGGATGGCGTTTCCCCGGAGTGGAGAGAACTCCTGGAGACCACATAGCCTGAATCCCCAGAATTTCAGGCCTGCTGGGAGCTTCGTGCGCTAGGCCACACTAGTTCATGGTATCCATGCTACCAATCTATGTGTATCTACATATCTATTATTTTTGGAAATTGCATTTGTAACAAAAGGGCGTGAAACCCTGGCAGCCCAAGGACCCCAGGCCAGGGATGGATTTGAACCGTGAAGGGTTTGGTTTTCGGGGCCTCTGTCCCACCCTTCCCTGCTGTCAGAGCTCGGGTGGGGGTGCCCTACTAGGTGCTGAATGTAAGGAGAGGAGCCTCCGAGGCCAGGGCAGGCCTCCCCCCACCCCCGCGCGTCTCTTTCCTTTCTGAGGTCCAGGACGGCAAACAACTGGGGAGCCCCTGGGAGCCCCCGAACCAGGAGAGAGCAAATCCGGCAGCCCTTCGCAGAAATGTTCCTTGATTTCTTTTTATTTTTTAAAGGAGGTTAAAACTTGTAGCACTTTTCAGTTGTTTGCATTCAAATGACGGTTATTTTTTTATTCAATGTGAATATTCCTGACCAGCTTTTCCGCGGTGTCCTCCGCAGTTCGGCCGCCGGCCCTTTGTCTCTCCTGTCCACTCTCCGCGACTCCTGCGTCCTGACCAAGGACTCTCCCAACCCTGTCCCTGCCCCTAAAACAGGTGATCCTGTCAACCTCATGTCAACCTCGCAGCTTTTCTCCTCTTTCAGGGCACTGTGCACTCAACTAGAGTATTAACTTTAAAAAGATTTGTGACGTTTGGAAGCTCTATTCGCTGTATTTTTTCCCCTTTAATTTATAAACTTTTAGTTTAACATGCCCTCCTGGACGCCTTCTTTTTCTCTGAGCCTCTCTCGTCTAGCTTTGCGGAAACCAATAACATGAAAATATCTGGGGCTTATTTTCCCAGCCTCTTTTCAGTCCTGAGCCCAGGACACCTCGCCCCCCCCCCAGGGAGCATGCCACCCCGTAGGAAGCGTGTAAACCTGTGCAGATCAGGGAGTCACCATTCGGGGCCTTTGCGGGAGCCACAGATGAATCCCACTTAATCAGGAGCGAATACCTAGAATTCCCGTTTTTCTCGTGGGCATTGGTTTCAGAGCCTAGGAAGCGTCCAGAGCTGAACCTGCAGCCACCTCCCTCACCCTAACCTGCTGACCCCTCCACCTGCCCGCCTCCTCTCTGCTTTTGATTTTCCGAGCGTTTCTCCGAGTTATTCTGTTTTTCATTTCGTTTTGAGAGTAGGATAGCAAAAACTCTCGCTGAAATTCTTCAACGATTTAGGGGCTAACGAGGCTATAACAAGGTGTTTCCCAGGGAGGGTCACCTGCGCTTTGACTCCTGCCGGGTGCAAGTGGCGCTCCCACCCCTCTTTGACTCGGCGTCATTTGATCTACACAGATGCCCGCGGCAGGGCGAGGGTCAGTTATTACCCCATTCTACAGATGAACACGCCCCGCCGGCGGTCCGAGATTCCCCAGAATGCCACGGATCCACCCGAGCGAAATGCTCACTGCTACACTCCGCTCACGCCGGGCCCGGGCGAAAAAGAAAGGGTTAACGCCGCATTACAGGCGCCGAGGCCCCCAGTGCGCGGCCGGAGCCGTGAGACGCAGAAACCAGGCCCCAGCTACTTTCAATTTCACCCAGAGCGTAAAGGCCGTCTCGCCCTCTGCCCTGCCCCGCGACCCTTCCCAGTCTCGCGACCCCTGGCCTGGGTACCCCAAACAGAGTCTCCACAAGCGCTTTATGAAACAAGCCCCTCTTCCGGGAACAACGAAACCCTAAGGGCCTCGGGATATACACATCCAGGTACACAAGTCCAACTACCTTCCAAACGGTTGCTGCAATCATTTTGTTTCTTTTTGACATGTGTAAAAATTCCATTTTAATTTCATACTCATGAATGCATTTTTTGTTTTGTGGGAAGTCAGAACATTGCCGATAATGCTAGGATCTCCTCCCTTCTCTCCAGAGGTCGCCATTACTGATTTTTTTGGGGGGGGTCGACTTTTTCCCCTTCTGAAAATGGCAGTTGGTTGTGTCTGCGTCCTAAGAGGGGTAGTTTGTTCTCCATCCTTGCAGATTTGGAGTCGCGAGACCTGGGGAGGTTCTTCCGAGTAGGCCTGGCGGCGCCCCCTCTCCAGCTCCCCGCCTGGGCCAGTTCTACTGGGCTGGCTCCAGACGCCCGGAAAAAATGACTCAAACGAATGCAGTCTGACCCGGATTGTTGCAGTTTCACTCTGAGCTGCCCCGCAGCTGGCGTTGGCGCGAGCGCCCTGAGATCTGAGTCCGGCAGCCGGACGTGGCCCCCGGATCCAGCGGCCTCTGAGGATTTCCCACTGCGTTACGCTATCCCAAACGGGTGTCTTTACCTCGGCCCCGCGCCGCAGACGCGGCCTCCTGTTGGAAATGGATGGTATAACATTTTTCATTTCCTTTTCCTCCTCCACTCCCGCCCTGCCCCAGGGGATCCTTGCGCCCCGGGGCTACCTGAGCCCTCTAAGACCCTGGGGCCTGGTCGCGCGGAGCAGCTACAACCTGAGCCCAGCGGGCTTCTGAACTGTTCATCTTTCTCAGCCCCTTTCGGCCCTTAGCGAAATCTCAGAGCTGACCTTAGGGGTCACTGGGTCCGACCCACACACTGAGATGTGTAAACTAAGGCGGGAGAAATGACTGGGAAAGGGAGCATAACACGCGGCTACCTGCACTGAAATCAGTCCCAAGGGTCCAGGTTCAGTT